TCGTCTGGTGTAGGATGATGGCACAGTGTTTATATCCAGAGTGGGCATCTCTGAGCCCAGACTCTGCAGACTCTGGAGCCAGACACCATAGGCCAGGGATGAAAGCGCCTGTGACCTCAGCCTTCTGCAGGAGGGACACAGAAGCTGAGCCTGCAGGTGTCGGGCAGGAGGAGCTCCCGTCTCTGCCTCCCTTTCACATCTGACTCTGCTGCTACCTTAACGCCCGTGAGTCAGAGCCTGCTCAGCTCTGCAAGCACACTTATCACTTAGGAAGCACCTGTCAAAAGGCTGGCAACACGGGCTTTACCAGCCCTAAATTCGCCTGCTTCGTCTCCTCTTCCTTCAAGACTGAGGACACCAAGATAACAGAAATACAGTACACCATTACTATCGGACACTGTAAAACTGATTCAAACATAAATTGTGATTAAACTACTCATCTCCATCATCATGTAAGATATGGGGGGACAGAGGTTTTATGTTCTGTTGTCTTATGTTTTCTGCCTTTATGTGAAGGTGTAACACTTGAGTCTTGCTACATGTTCCATATTTTCCTTGGAGGATTATTGTTCTCTGTTTCTCCTCTCGTGTGTGTGTGTGTGTGTGTGTGTATACATCTTTTTCCATTGCTACTAGTATTATAAAACCAATAATTTCTTGCTCTTGAAAACTACATTGCTGAGGGGGGCGGATTGAAATCATTATTTTGTTTAAGAAATCTGTCTCCCCACACTTTTCTGGGAAGTTCTATATCTTTACCTCCCAATATCTATAACAACCCAGCTTCATTAGGGAAGTGAGGAAACCTATTTCACCATCTGGTGAGATCCGTTAGAGGGCAAAGGAATTGCAGCACACGCTCAAGCCAAACCTCACCCTCTCACACATTTTCCGTTGTTGTTTTGGTGCCATGTGTTGAAACCACAGCCTCTCCCACACCAACTGCACGTCAGCCATGGAGTCACATCCAGACTCCCAGCAGCTCGTTTTACCTGAGGTAGAGCAGGTGTGGAGAGGCGAGGATCCAGCGGTGAGTGTGCAGAGATCTAGGTCAGAAAATGCAGACTGTCTTCAGAGGGCCTGGGGTTTAATGTGGAGGTGCAACTCATAAGAATCCATGGGGAGTCAATAGGAATCCAAAGGGGAGAGAGGGAGAGGTGGGGGGAGAGGGGCGAGGAGGAGGAAGGAAGGAAGAAAGGAGGAGGAGGAGTAGGAGGAAGAGGAGGAGGAGAAGATGGCTGCTGCCTTGGGGACCCTCTTGAGGTTTATTCCCTTGAGTCCTCTGAGGGCTGAGCAACTGCATGTGGATAATTAACACTGTGATGAAATTTGTAGAGATGAAATTTCTGTAGGGAATTTCCCTTCTCCTAATTTATTTGTCTTTAAGGTCATCTTTGCCCTGAGGAATTCGCCTGGGTGAGTTGAAGATAAGACCATGAAACAATAAATTCATTGCACAGAAAGACTGAAATGCGCTGTGGCTTCTATCTAAGATCGTGCACAGGAGTAGACTCATCCTATGCACACAGGGTTAAGAATAAAGTTCACAGGTAATTACACGTGAAGCAGAAACACTACTTCTGTAGAAAGTGGAGAAGCTCGTTAGCTGGTTAGGTATTTATTTTCTTTCCATGGCACAATTTTATCACAATAGTTAAAACATTTGTATGTCAAAGTATCCATTCTTAGTTTGCATAATTTCATTTTTATCACTCCGTGTTTGTGGCACCTAAGGATTACATTCTTTATGGGAAGTGGGTAATCTACAAAGCAGACCCTAATTGTCTTTATATCCCCTTCTCCTCCCTGTCTCCCTCCCTCTGTCTCTGGGTCCCCTTCTCTCTTACAAAATATCTAATTCCTTGTTTTCTATTAATTTTTCTCTTGAAATTAGCTATACTCTTCAGTTTATACACTACTTTTTGTTGACTTTTCCTCACAGCTTTTAAGATTTGACCTTGTATTAGCCTTCCGGAATTTTGACTATGATGTGTCATGAAGAGCTCTTCCTCTTGTCATAATTATTTAGAGTTCTGTGTGTTTTATTTAACTATATTATGAGTCGTTTTCCCACACTTGAAACATTTTCAGCTATGGTCACTAAACATATTTGATTCCATGCATGCTGATCACTAAAATTTCTCTAGCTCCAGGTAGTCTTAGGTTAGTCTTTTTTGTATCATCCAGTAGCTGTTTGATCAATATTTGCTCTCTTGGTTTTAAGCTATCTCAGAGGTCTGAGTATAGGGTCTTTTTTTCTTTTTATTGAGTTTATTGGTACATTCTAGGTATACAGTACAGTTACATTTATTACTGGAATCTTGTAGCTTTATATGACAGGTCTTGGTTCTCATTTTTCCCCTTGTCCCTGCCCTCCCTTCACCCCCTCCTCCCCTCCCCATCTACAAACACTTTATTTCCATTTTTTCATTTCCCTTATTACCTTTCCCCTCCCCCTCCCACTTTCCCTTGGTATTTACACATGTGACTTATTTATTTCACTTAGGAGTATATCCTCAAAATGTATCTGTTTTCCTATGAATGACTCTAATTTCTCATTCTTTATGGCTGAGTAGTATTCTATTTTAAAGAAAAACCACATCTTCTTTATCCAGTCTCCAATTGATGGGCAATTGGGCTGTTTCCAAGTTTTAGCTATTACAAACTGTGCCGCTATAACCATGGGTGTGCATACATCACTGTGATATGATTCTTTTAATTCTTTTGGAAAGATACCCAGCAGAGCTATGGCTGGGTCAAATGAAACCTCTAGTCCCAGCTCTTTGAGGTATATCCATATTGATTTCCATAGTGGTTACACCAGTCTGCACTCCCACCAACAATGGAGAAGGTTTCCCTTGTACCTCCACAGTATTGGGGAGTGTCAACATGGGGAAACCATGGATTATATTTAAGTATGTCTTGTAACATTTTAATAATTGTATTGACTGTCAGAGCACACTTAGCTTGTTTTAAAAGCATATGAAGCAATCCCGTTTAATGTTGCTCTTCTGTTGAAAGAGGCTGCCCCATGTTTCAATCTCAGTGGTTAAGAAAGTACTTGTGGCAAAACACTGACCTGCTGTTCTGCACCAATCATCCTTGGAAATTGTCTTGTGAGATTCAAGTGCTTTAGACACCAGCTCTGTTCTGCCAAGTAGGTGATTCCACTTGCTGGTTCAAACCACTGACCATATTTGGTGTCAGCTATCAAAGACCCTGGTCGAGTGTCTTGATTTCCTGCAAGTCACTAAAATGCAACACAAATGAAAGACATGCAAACAAGACTTACACAAAAATCAAGCAAGTGGGAGGACACCGAGCAACTAGGACTGTGTGGCATCTGGTAATAGCAGCCGACACAGGCAAGATTTGTAGAAAGCAGAACAAGTCATTCCTGTGAAAGGAGCAGAACAGGTGAAAGGAAGGTTGTGGTTCCCTAGTAAGCTGCGGAACAATTAAGGAATGGAATGGAATGTGGCTTGGAGCCAAAGGTCTTTGGCGACAGTGTCATCTCACTTAGGAGCTCTGCAACTTCACAAATCAGGACTTAGGTCTCTGTGGCAACCATTGCATCGTTCAACATGCTCCTTTGAATCACATAGGCTCTGGTCTGGCTCTGAATGCAGTGTAGCCAATTACAGGGAAAGAACATCGGCTCCATCTCACAGCCGGCTCTGTCTTTGGTGAGGAAAGGTGGCCTGCCACTTCGTGTTCCTGGCAAACACACGGACGACTGAGCATGACAGGATGATGAGTGCATCCCAAGCAAAGGAATCCCACGTGCAAGCGGAAGTAGCTACCCTGGTATCTATCAAAACAGACTTCAAGCCAACCCTGGTCAGAAGAGGCAGTTAAGGTCGCTGCATACTGATAATGGGAACATTCCATCAAGAACAACAGCGGCACATTAATGTGCATGGAATGCCGGAACACCCAGTTACAAAACAAATGTTATAGGGCATAAAGGGAGATACAGGTTATATTGCCAAACCCAGAGCTAATATCCTACCGGAGGGAGGAGAGTTGAAACATTTTCTCTAGACTCTGGAGCATGACACACATGTTCAGTCTTCTCACTCTTATTCGATACTGTTTTAAATTTTTTATTATTACATATTTTCATTAATAATGATTATACTAATTTTAGGGAATTAGTACACATTGACAAGATATTGTAATTCTTTTTTATTTCTAGAATTTATTTATTTATGTATGTTATAGCTCCTTATAAAATTATCATATACATATTAACCAAGAGGCCACAAATATCTTAACATATGAGAAAATTACATTAAATCAAGGCACACTTCTAGATATGTTATCCATGTTGGATTCCAATAGCCCCTATTCAATATTGTACTGGAAACTCTAGCCTGAGTAATTTCACAAGAGAAAGAAATAAAAAGGATACAAAGAGGAAATGAAAAGTCAAATTATCCCTGTTTGCAGAGGACATGATTTTTATTACTACAATATATGTGTCATATATGGAATCTGGCTGTGTGTGTGGGAGAGAACCCGATAAAGGGAAAAGACATCGGGGCAGGCAAATGGCTCCAGAGGAGAACGAGAGAGGGGACTAGGAGGATGGAAGTGATCAAAGCACATTGCAGGCATGTTGAGAAATGTCATAATGAAACCCATTATGGTCCAAAATTAGTATGTGGTAATAATTATGACAAAAGAAAGAAATGAAAGAAAGACAGAAAAAAATATAATAGGTGGCATTTCTCATCGACCTGAAAATGTATGGACCATGCTTATCCTGTTAATAGAGGCCAGACATTTTGGGAAGGATTACAGAAAGGAGTGTGGCATCTGTAAGAACTGAAGAATATGGAACATTCCAATCCAGAGTTTTTTTTTTTTTTTTTTTTTTTTTAGTTATCAAGGTGGTTGACCTTGAGAAATTGGGACACTTAGTTGGAATTCATAGATGCTTATTAGGGAAAACAGATATAATATGACTGTATTCATTGATATATATGTGTAATTGCTTAGACAGGCAGAGACCTGGCTTTCCAAGACATCACCCCACCCTGGGACTGCAGGATCCTCTTCCATGCTCTCTTCATGTCCTTGTTTCTCAGGGTGTAGATGAGTGGGTTGAGCACTGGGGTGATAACACAGTAGAAGAAGGACAGGAACTTGGCCCGAGAACTCTCAGCTGGTGGCTGGAGGTACATGTAGATGCCTGGTCCAAAATACAGGGTGACCACCACCAAGTGGGAACTGCAGGTGCTGAGTGCCTTGTGCCTTCCTTCAGCTGAAGGTAACTTCAGCACAGCCCTAGCAATGAAGGTGTAGGAGATGACCACCAGCAGGGCAGGCATCATTCCAAAGGAGATGTCTAGTACAGCCAGGGCCAGGTCATTAGCAGAGGTGTCCCCACAGGCCAGCTTGACGAGCACAGGCACCTCACAGAAGAAGTGGTCCAGGGTGTGGTGCCCACAGAGGGGGAGCTGGAGGGTGAGTGTGGCTTGAATAAGAGAACTGGCCAGGCCACTGGACCAGGAGGAGGCTGCCATCTGCACGCAGACCCGGGGACGCATGACGAGAGTGTACTGGAGGGGCCGGCAGATGGCCACATAACGATCAATGGCCATCACGGCCAGCAGGATGCATTCAGTGGTGCCTGTCCAGCTGAAAATATAGGCTTGTGTGATGCAGCCCCAGGTAGCAATGGTCTTGTCTGCTCCCCACAGGTTGGCTAGCAGTTGGGGCACAGTGGTGCAGGTGAGACTGAGGTCCAGAATTGAGAGGTTGTCCAAGAAGAAGTACATGGGTGTCTGGAGTCTGGGGTCCACCAGGGAGAGGAGGATGATGGAGCTGTTCCCCAGCAGGGTGAGGATGTAGGAGATCAGGACCACTGCAAAGAGGGGCCTCTCCAGCCACGGAAACTCTGAGAAGCCCAGCAGGATAAAAGCATTGGGAAAACTCACGTTTTCACTTTCCATGGCATCTGTCTTTAATATTCAACTGGCAGGAAAGAGGTTTTGAAGGTAAATATTATTCCATTTATTTTCTCTGCCTTTTTCATCAGTATACCTATGATACAATAATAGATTCTTTCTTGGCTGAATATCTTCTGAACATTTCCTGCCAGGGATAGGAATCAGTGGAGTGATTTTAGGTGATGTTACTTATTTCAATTTTTTCCAAACTGACTCAGCTATTTTCAAACCTGTGTCCTGCGCATTTAGGCACATCAGCAATGCTGTATATTCATCGCTGCTGTCCGTTTCCTGAATCTTCTCTCCCTGTATCTGTTAAATATCTCTTTGCTCTCCCCCACCATGGAAACCCCCATTCCGCTTCCTATCTCTATGACTTTCATTGCTCTCATGAGAATCAGGCAACATTCACAGTTTTGTGATTGGATTATTTCCCTTACACCATAAGCTAAGTCCCGGGCACTGAAAAGTGTATTCCTACCTCGCACGTCTCATGGGGTGTGTGTATAAAGGTTTACACCCTCGTCTACGCACACGTTTACATCGCTTCAGTGCCTTTGCTAAGGCGGTTGATGCTGCTGTGCTCGTTCCTGCCCAGTACCTGTTTGATACCTGCTTTCCACTTCTTTGGGTGCAAGAAAGAAATGACCTTTCTGAGTTCTGAAGTCCCTCGATTGAATTCTGTGGAGAACTCCTGTGCTTTTTTGCAAGGCTGCTGTGCCAGTTTCCTTCCTTCCACAGTGCACATGGGCTCCAGCCATCCACATCCTGGACCGCAGAGCTGATTCTGCTGTTTCTCCTGGACACTCACCGTCCCAGAGGGTGTCAGATCACATGTGTGCTTCTGGTTTTGTACGCTGTGCAGCCTGCAGCAGTGCTTCATGGACCCCAGGCAGAGTCACACTTGTTCACTGTGCTCTGCCCCCTTTCCTTACATAAAATCTTTCATCATAAAAAATAAGGTTGCAAACAGAGAAAATATTTTATGGAGGCCACATTTTGAGGAAATGCTTTTCCTCAGGAATGGGGAGAATAGGCATGAGCTTGTTTAAAAAACAAGTGCCATTACACAGTCTGTGATAGCCCAAACCTGGAAATAGCCCAGGTGCCCATCAGCTGGAGACTGCATAGAGAAGACTTAAAAAGAAATAAAGTGGAGTACTACTCAGCCATAAGAACAAGAAATTAGAGACAGTTGTAGCTAAGCAGATGCACACTGAGGCCATACTCTTAAGTGAAATAAATAGGACACACAAGTTAAACACCAAATAGTTTCTCTGGTGTGAAAAACTAACAGTGTAGAAAAGGATCAAAACGTATAACTGATATTGTGAAATAGGAAGAAAAGCTCTGAAGGAGTAGGGGAAGTGGGAGGATTAGAGGAAAGTAAAGGGAATAGGAAAAAATAAGAGAAAAGAAAAAAAAAGGAAACAATGTCTATATAGACAGCGAAAGGTAGAGGGGATGAAGGGAGGGCTGGGGAATGGGAAAAATGAGAACCACGATACATCATGTACAGATACAAGATCCCAGCGATGAATGTAATTGTATTGTACATCTAAAGTGTATCAATGAAAATTACTAAAAACGTGCCATCAGACTGAAGTACAGAAAGACTGAAAAACTATGAAATGATGTTTTATAAAATGTCATGAACAGTATCATTTTCTTCACCTTCGAAAAGAAGATTGAGAAGAGAGCCACAGTACAATGACCCAAAGCAGTCATCGTAATGGCAGACAAAGGGCTCTAAGAAGGCTTTGCTGAGCCATGTAACCAAGTACCCAGGTTGGGGTACCCTCGTTATAGCATGTGAATTCTTTAGATGCACAGATATTGGAGAACCCTAGATTGAGTGAGCTCACGGTTGTGTAGTCATCAAGCATTTTGGAGAGGCAGAAAAAGTATCACTGGGCATGAGGGAGAAATATCCAAAAAGTCAGAAAGAGTTAAAGTAGAATCTTGGAATAAAATGCTCAGTATGATGATAAATGAAGGGATAAATGAGAGAACAGAACTGAATAAAATGTAAGCATCTTACAACAGAAAGTGTGGTCCTCAGTGTCATGCAGGTGGATTCTAACCAACAGGAACAGTAACTCCATCTGGAGAGTGAGGCCTGGATGTCGGGTGTAGGCATCATGTTTATTGGGGGCCGACTGCTGAGGGAGCTGGGCACAGCGTGTGCATAGAGTCGTCCTCTCTGAATCCACATCTGCTGGCCTGACCCATGAACCTTGACTTGGGGCAGAGCAGGTCACCACCCTGACTCTCAGCCTTCCTGCTCTAAAATTCAGAACATCACACTCACTGTAGGGCTTTGGAGAAGACTCCATGGACTAACAAATATATCAGTACAGAAGGCTGGAAACTGGTGCCTTCCACATTCTAGCAATTATTTGCTTCATAAATAGTAAAGAAGCTAAGAAAGAAAAACCCAGGATAGCCCATGATAACTCAGATGGGATGGTTCTGATAAGAGTCAGTGTGGTAGGAGAGACGTTTTGTTGACAGTGTTCAACTACTGTTTCCACATCACAAAAACTAAGGGCCTGTAACAACTAAGGGCCGAATTTGTTAATTATGATTATTTATTAATTATTAGCTGTGAACTGAGCCTCCCTCTCCTCGTCTCTAGATGGAGGGTTGCAGAACTCACACACAATTTGTCCTTGATCACTCAGGGTAAAAAAAAAAAAAAAAAAAAAAAAAAAAA